TGGGTGGGGCCACTCTTGAATGGATCGTTACCTTTATGACAAAGATGGTAATTGCCAGGGTGTGGGTTAGGGAAATAAATTAAACCACTCCTATGTCTCTGAACGTGTAATCCACTCTTCCTTTGCCTACATGGACTTCGGTTACAGTTTGTCTGTAGGGTTGTCCAAAATGGGTAGGCTTGAATTCTTTTTCATGTCTCAGTTGTAAAGATAAGATTTAAGTGGGGTAGGGCTTTTGATGTATCATGCCACATCCTAGGAAAACTGCTTGGTCCAGCCCAGGCTTCTCTATTTGGATGACAGCTTTTTGAGGGTGATGTGTACTCTTGCGCTGTTGGGTGATTCTTGGTTTCATTGTGGGTAGAAAATCTCACCTGGAGAATAACAAAGTGCTGGAAGAGGCTTTGGTTCTCCTGTTGGTGAGATTGGTGAGCAAAGGAGAGGGACCACGATAATTCCTTCAGATTTAGGCTGGAATTTCCAGAAGTACTTCATGTAAGTTAGGAACTCGAGATTTGTGGCTTTGGATGATCTTCTTTTTTACTTCTAAAAATTGTATGTCATATCTGTGATAGTACTTTTTATTTGGAAAGAATCCTATATATTTCTACCTCACTAATGATGCAGCCTGTTGAAAGGAAAAGCACACAAGACTCATAGTGCACTGTGAAATAGTTAAGAATTTGGGTCAAACATGCATGGAAGGAGCAATAAGCAATGTTTCCTGTTATGAAGAAGTTAAATTTTGCTTATGCAGTACACACAGAGCTTCAGTGCTCTAGGGCTCTGACATGGCAAAACTCATGGGAATCTGTTTGGCCCATAAACATAATGCTTGTCAGTCCTGCAGAGGTTGTAACATGCTGTTTCAGGATGAGTGTAAAAGCACAGATGTCTTTAATCATCTTATTAGGTCTTTAGAGGCAAGACCCTTTATTTACCTTTCTGTAAGATCAGTTTTCCTTCAATTTAAAATGAAAAAGAATAGTATAGCTGAACTGTGGTAAGAGCTAAACAAATTAAATTTTCTTTCTTCCTAAGACATGCTTCTTTCCTTTGAACTTCTGAAGTGTGAATGCACAGGACTAAATCTATGGTGTGAAGAATCAAGTATCTGATGTACTTCATGCACGTTAATACACCTGTTTGAAAGTCGGTCTCCAGTAGTAGTAGAGCTGGAGATAAACTGGCAAGCCCTGAACCTTGCATTTCCTGTTTTTCACGTCTTTCAGAGGAATGAAGGTCATTGAAAATAGAGCCCAGAAGGATGAAGAGAAGATGGAAATCCAAGAGATCCAGCTTAAAGAAGCTAAGCACATTGCTGAAGAGGCTGACCGCAAGTATGAAGAGGTCAGTTATTGAGTGACAGTCAGTCATCTGTTTCTGAAGCCCTTCAGGCTGTGCCTATAATTCTTTTTGTTTTTTTCCCTTTGCCTTTTAAGTTTAAAAGATCACAAACGCCACTCTTTGCAGCTGTGGAAGGAATAATGGGCACCCATATGCCTCAGGGGACAGGATGGCAGGAGATCTGTGCTCAGATTTTTGCGCTACAATGACTGAGAGTATTCCCTGGTCTCTCAAGGAGAAAAATGTTTTAAGTTGCCTTTTGGTGAATAGAAGAGAGGTCTTGAAAAATGTCAGATAAGAGACTCAAATAAATAACGAAGATGTCACATAATCAAAACTCACGTGTTGACCAAAAAATGGAAAGAGGCCCAACTCCCTGCTTTGTACATTCTAGAAACAGGTGATGTGCGCTACAACAGCATAATAATCTCTGGTTGTCATTTGCCTTTTCTTGTAGGTGGCTCGCAAGCTTGTGATCATTGAGAGTGACCTGGAGCGGGCTGAGGAACGTGCTGAACTATCAGAAAGGTAAGTGTTGAGCTGCCCCGAGATGTGTGTGAGGTGCTACAAGACAACTGTAACAGCATGAAACATTGGCACTACACTGTGTGTTCAGCTCAAAGCTATGTTTTGCTCATTTACTCTAATGGTTGAAATAAATGGTCAACGCCAAAGTAAATGTGTTCATATGTGTGTGCGCGTGTGTTTTGTCACTGCATGCTGTACCTGCACACTGATTTTGTGAATGGCTTTTGTGCATTTCATGTGTTCACTAACAGCCAAGTCCGACAGCTGGAAGAACAGTTAAGAATAATGGATCAAACCTTGAAAGCATTAATGGCTGCAGAGGATAAGGTACTGATACTAATAAACAGTTTTTAGGTTTAACTGCAACCCAAGTCTTTCAGCTTCCATAGCCAGTTAGCTCACTCAGTAGTAACAAATAAGTCCTCACTACGCTCTTTACTCTCTTTGCATCTTGCTTTGGTGGTTTTCTTTGGTCTCTTTTTTGTTTATTTGTTCATTTTTACCTTTAAAACTGATCTCTTGTGCAGCCAAAAAGAAGCTGAACTGTCTAACGTGTAAAGGCTATGTAAATAATTCTGTGTAAGCCAAGGGCTGTAGATAATTTCTGTCTGGTCTTCGTCTTAATGTACACTTGAAATGGAATTTGGCATCGTAAAGAGTTGCTTTCATTCTCTGATGGATTCAGCTGCTTTTGAGGCCGTTCTTTTGCTCTGTAATTTTTTTTTTTCATTTTTCTCTATCTTTTCCCCCTATTTTCTCCTGTTTCTTTTGCTTGACTGAATCTTCCATCCGCCCCTTTCCTGCCTTCCTTCCGAAATAACAGCAAATGTGCTGAGCTTGAAGAGGAGTTGAAAACTGTGACCAACAACCTGAAGTCGCTGGAGGCTCAGGCTGAGAAGGTAGGCTAGAGACATATGCGAGAGTGTGTCCCTTACATTGTCATCTGGATTGGCCTGTGGGGTTTTCTTAAATGCTGGTCACTTTGCAGCATTTCAGCAAGACCACTGTGAGTAGAAGCATTTGGACTTACTACTCAATTCATATTTGGCTCTTATTGGAGTCTAGCATTCCTTCTAGTTCCAAATAGGTCACTAATATTTGACCACATGTTCTGTTAAGTAGTCTGACAGGATTAAATATTATTTATACAATGTCCCTCAAAATGGCACTTGGGCTAACATTAAATTTCTCCAAATGCCACTCCTCTTTAAAACTGTAGTACTAGTTTCTACTCAAAGATCCCGCTGTGTAGCACAGGTGTATAACTCAAGGGAAGTTTGGCTCTTGTAATAAACTGTGCGTTACCACAGTCTGGTAAGTGGAATTAATTTAGTTATAGCCATATGAATTTCCTGTATACAGCTGATTTATTAGAAGACATCCTCAAAAGTGGTATTTTTTTGTATGTTTAGAATACCTGGTCTAATATCAGTCATCCTTTTTCTAATTACAGTACTCGCAGAAAGAAGACAAATATGAAGAGGAGATTAAAGTCCTGACTGACAAACTGAAGGAGGTAAAATTACAGCTGTTCTTTACAACAGACCTTCCAATGCAACCTGGATTCTTTTAATATAAACACCACTTTGATGCTTTAGGGATGAGCACGTCATTCTGGAGACAGTTTGGTGTTATATGTCTCTCCAAAAAAGTATCACCGCCTTATTTGCCTCCTCTCATTGTACTCTTTTCTTCATTTGAATTGTTGCTCCTCTAGTTGTAAGTACTATGTGTGTGTTTCCTAAAGTAGTCTGTATTTGTCTTGACTTCAGGCTGAGACGCGTGCTGAATTTGCTGAGAGGTCAGTAACCAAGCTGGAGAAGAGCATTGATGACCTAGAAGGTATGGACTTTGCTTTTCCCCCTTACTATAGAAATACAGATCTTTTATTCTCCTGTTGTTTAGTTTCTTTCCAGTACCCAGTTCTACTCATCTAATGTGTCCTGCTTACATAAATGGGTCTGCCTAAAGAGTGAAATAGGCAAAATGTTTTCCGATTGAAATGTATTGACAGCTTAAATGCTTCAGGTGAACAGTGTTTTGCTCTTGCCTGTTCCTTTTTCTCTCATGATCTCAAGACTCTCTTCATTTTTTTGCTTTATACTCTTCTACTTAGAGGAATATAAATGTATAGGGTAAATGATTAGATGGTAAGTAGTATTATTATCTTACTAAAAAGTAGATGAAGAGATGCATTATGTTTGTAATAATTAGGAATGTAGCAAGCTAACCTAATTTATTACTGCAATAAGCATGGGTCAAGGCAGGCATTTTGTGACATAGACCAGTTGCTGTTTTTCAGTAAACCTAATGGATTGTATACATAGTCAGAAGGACGGCTTGTTTAACTTCAGAGGGTTTGTTTTAAGGTTTAGATAAATCTGTCAGAACTGCAGTAGAATAGTAGAATGTTCTTTTTTTCTCCAGAGAAAATAATTTTGTAGTGCTTTGTAATTAAGGGTTGTATGGAGTTTACTATTTAGATATGTTACACTAAGTCTAGGATTTTAAGAAGCTGGATTGCTTGGCATGGCAGGGTAAGTTCTGCATAAAGGGTGTGAAATATCTGGGTAGGTGCTGAAAATTTATGATCACTGACTCAGGAAGGAAAGAGAGAAGAAAGATAAGTGTTTAGAAAGAACAAAAATTGTTGTAAGAAACTGAGTTTATGACATCACACAAACCAGAGAGGTTGGGTTTTTGTTTTTTTTAAAAAAAGTGGTAGAAAATAAATGGTAGCATTGTCCTTGAGCCCCATTTCTGGATCTTTTTTCCCTAGCTCCTGTGTGCCCTTCTAATGTGTATTAAAACAAAAATCCAGGGCAGAGAAATATAGGTTTTGCTTCCCTTGTGTACTTCTTTTCTTTGTGTTCTCTATCACAGGTTACCCCACTGGCAGTGCAGTTAATGAACTTGTCACATAAAACTGTTCGCTATTGATTTTTTTTTTTTTAATTCTTCTCTAATTTTGTAAATTTTGTTTTGTTTTGTCTGTCGGAACACCTCTTTCTCTGCGCTCTTCCCCTTTCCTACGGCTTCTGGATGGTATCCCATGCTACCACCTTCACCTTCCATCCCGCGATCACGCTCCATTTCTTTGCACACCTCTGCCTTCCCTTGGGCGAATGTTAGATGAGCTATATGCTCAGAAACTGAAGTACAAAGCCATCAGTGAGGAGCTGGACCACGCTCTCAACGATATGACTTCCATGTAAATGTCTTCCCAGCTTGTGCCTGCACCTGCTTCCCTGCCCTCATTGATTGCGCAGTTCCGGTCTTGTGAAATTATACTCCCTCTGTAGTGGGAGACGCGTTCCTTTAGCGAGACTAGGTGTACAAAATACCATGAACAATTTCTTTACCGTGGCAGAGTGTGGGTGAGTGTTGTGCCTAGCCTGGTAAATACTCATGGTGATTTTGTAAGCTGCCTAATAAGCTCGTGTTTACTCTTTCATTCTGTATCTGCAATCTTTGTGTCTTGTGGTTGCCCTTTGTTTGTAGCTCTGCATATATCCTTTCAGTTCTCCTCTGTTCAAGCAGTGTCTGCCAAGCCCATCACGTTCAGTTTGCCAAAGAAAATTGCCTCAGTACGGGTTGCATTCAGAGTGTATTCTTACGCTATCGCAGTTTTTCTCTGGCAAAGTTGCTACAAAAGTTTCAAAGAAATTTAGATTTAGCTGTATTCTCTATTAATGACGGTGGAAAGTGTTTATCTAAATTTCCTTAACTGCTCTGAGAATTTCAGCTGTTATCACTAAGTGACAAGTGTGGAAATAGATTTAAAATACTTTGTAATTTAAACCCATAAACGTGACAATTGAATTGTAGGTTTCTTCTGTTATTTTGAGGAAGGTAGTAGTAAGTTAATTTGCATATACCAAAAACGTGGTAATATCAACTTTAGTCATAAGGAGAAAAATAAAGTGTATTAGGCAGCAGGAAAGCAGGAGAGTGATCAATTGTAAGGAATGACTAGTCCCTACAGTGTTTGATACAAACAGGCTCTCCTTCCATCAACCTAAAACTCTGAACAGAGGTCAGCTATGCTAAATCCACCTTCCCGTGCTCATACCCTTCACTTGCATGAACCCAGTACGGTTGACATGGGAAAGAGGAAGAGCTGTGGCCCTCAAGCGCTTGCGAGGTGCGATGTTCAGTCCCGGCGTTTCTTTTAGGAAGCGAGCGGGCTTTCAGCAAGGCAAAAGCTTTGCTCAGAGCTTGAAATGTAGTTTGCATGCACCTATATTTTAAGTGTATTTTCTTTGCCTTTTTGCCTCCTTGATCTGTTTCTTACTTCCTTCCCTCTCTCTCCCAACTTCTTAGGAGGGGTCTAATGTTGTCTGCTTTGATATTTTTTTTTTTTTTTTTTTTTTAAATTACCACCACCACCACCCCAACATATGTTGTTGCTCAGCGGCTTATCAAGCAAATGGATTTATTTTTTTTCCTCCTCTGAGTGCAGAGATTACAGTATTTCTTCAATTTGGAATATTTCTAAATGGAAAACAGACTTTAAAATGTACTCTACTGATACGTGATGACATTACTGTAGCATTCCAGTCCCAGCATGGTGTGGTGTTTCTCTAGTAGTTGTCTTGGCATGCTGGGCTCTGCTGTTGCTGCTTTTTTGGAAGTCTTTACTGCACCTTTTTTATTTCCTCCCTTATCTCACTTTTTCTTTTCATGCAGATAATTTTCTTTGCTTCACTTCTCCAAAGACATCTTCATCGGGTTGGATAAAACATCTTTCCAAGCTTTGGATGTTTCATGGGTTCATAGTCCTGTCTTCTAGCTTAGTTGACTCTATTCTTCTAGCACCTGTCTCAGAACATGCTCTGTTTGTGCTCTGCTGTACAGAAACTCTACATCTCTCAATGTAAAATAAACATCCCAGCTGTATCCCTTTTGCTATTCCCTTGCCTTTTATTTATTTGAGTAACTCTTTCAGTTATTAATAAAAATTGCTTTTTTTGCCATTAGGGATTTAAATTTTTTTGGTGTTTCCAGTTTTTTCTGCACTTTTGTCTGAATGCTGACAATGCAAAGCCAGTGGTAGCAGTCTATAGGATGGGAATATTACTCTCAGTATTTTGAGGTTAAAACTGACCAGTTATGATCTTAGTCTTTCTCAAAATCTGATGCAGATAAAAAGACAAATAGATGTAATGGGAATTTGTTCAGTTGTTATTGTTAGGCCAAAATCTGCAAGGACAATACTTCCTTGGGGTCACTTGGTCATGGGAGAATGGCTGAGAGAGCAGATTTTTCACTTCGAATTCTGAAATTTTCTTCTGGCTTGATGCTGAGGACTTCCTGTCTTTATATAAATGTGTGTGTTTGTTAAATAATCAAGATGGGTTTAAAGGGATGATATCAAAAACCTTAAATTCTTTTTTTCACCCAAAAATAGTCCTTTAAATGTCTTGCAAAAAATAGTTTTCTCCTCTTTTATGTCTTGATTACTCAGCAAAGATGTTGCTTGCTAACTTTTTTTTTTTTTAAATATACTTCTCTTGAGTGGCATGGTAGGATTGGAAGTTCAGCCGGGAGATTTCAGTAGCTTTCCACTCTTGTGCTTAACTCAGACTTGTGAGTTTTAATTGCAGACTCATGAGAAATATTTCAGAATTGGAGTAGGAAAACTCTCATCGTTACAGTCATAATGAAATGATTGTGCTGCAAAGTGGAACATACAGATTTCAGGTTTGAAAGCCTAAACATCGACTTGCATCTGATTTGGCAGTGACTGATTAAGGATGAAGAATTAAATACTGACACTTTCCCTTTTTGTACTGTTATTAGCAACTAGAGAGTTTGTTATTTTTAAGTTCATTTTCTTCACAATGAAATGAGTTATTTTCCAGTTCACATTAAAGTGAATCAGTTTAACCTGGATTGATTTCTGATTGTGCCTGTCACTGTATATATTGCTAAAGTTCCTAAGTCACCACAGCTGAATAAACCCACTGCAGCATAGCTGTGTTTTAGTTTTTAGCTTGTAGAATAATGTAAATGTGGCTTGCTTGTTCAACTTCAAGATTATTCAGCAGTGCAGTCTAGGCTAGATTTCCTCCCCTCCCCAAAACCTGTTTTCCAAATAAGGCTTGCAAATGGATGCATCGTCTTCCTCCCTGTCATCCTCAGATAACTTCGTCTCATCCCAGTCTTTTATCCCATGACATATGTCCTAATGTTACTGGCTATGGGGAGAAGCCCAAGTACAGGATATATATCAGCAGTCACAGGTAGTCCAGATAATAAAGTTTAATAAGTTACTACTCGTCAACTGAGATACAGTAAGTAGGTTTATACAATCTGTGTATCGCAACTGAAAAGTAAATTGTTTAGCGTGAAGGTTAACCAAATACAATGAGATGAGCATTTGTAAAGTGACTGACACTAATGGGGTTAACTTCACAAATGCAAGAGTTACAGGGAATGTTATCAGCTGTCGCTTGTCAGCTGAGCCAGAGTAGTTTATGCTACAGCAACTCCAACCCCTTAATCTATTTTGTGTTTTGGTTTATTGTGTCAGCAGTGTTGTTTTTCCCTCAATTCCTTGCAATACTGTCATTTCTTAGAAGTAAAAAAAAAGCAAAATCCAATGTAGGTACCTGGTAATTTTTAACACAGTAATTTTGAATATCAGTATTTAGATTTTCTCTTTTCCTTCAAATATAATCAGCTCTCTGCACTGTAGGGTGATGTATTGCTGGACAAAGGATGGAAATGGGCAATGCAATGCATATACCCAGGTAGCTGCATACAGAATTCCTAGCTGGCGCTGCCGCGCTGATCTTGACTCCACGGAGCTGTTGTGGTGTCTCACTGCAGTGTATGTCAGCACTCTTGTCACCATTGGACCTGACCTGTGCATTGTGCTGTCTGGCTGTGTGTACATGAGGCTTGTTGAGAGGAATACAAGGCTGGCTGTCTCATTTCCCTGGGTGCTCTGCTGTGCTGAGGCCGAGCCTCACTGGGTCTGCACCAGAGCTTGAACTCCCTGCTTGGCCTAAGGTGGCTGCCTACAGAGCCAGCCCTTGGCTCTACCTCTGGTAAATCACAACCTAGACAGACTGCCTGTGGGTAATCAAGGGCTGACTGTACACTCGGTAAATGCTTTCCATGTTTTACATGTTAGTCTCATTTTGGGTGTTGAGAAATACTGTAAATCTCTACCTCAATTAAAGAGAGTAGTTTTCTGTGATGAAGGTAAGCATCAAGTTCTTAGTTCAAATTATGTTGTCATGTTTGAATAACATCTAAATACACTTTGCCAAACAAAGTGAAATCGTAGTTACTCTGAGGTTTCAATGTTTTTTTCCACGTATACGTGACATTATTCTGGTAAGAGAGACAAGACCCAGTTATTACTGGTCCAGGATCAGAGCTCTGAAATGTGCCCTGGTTTTATTGAGCTGGCTGTTGGAGTTTGGGCTGGGGAGGAAGCTATGAGGAGTCGCTACTCACCGCACAAGTATGTCCTCCAGACCAGCTCACTGCACAGCTTTGCCATTGCTGTGTCCAGAGCCTGCAGGAAAAGAGGATTTCTGTGGAAGCTGTTAGGAAGCTTGTGGAAAAGAATCAGAAACAGTCACTTCCTGTAGGGGAATAATCTGGGATCATGAGGTCAGGAGTGCAGTTTGAATCTAGACTATTGAGAAAATTATGGACAATTTGAGAAAACAAGACAGTCAAACTATCATGGGAAATTCTTTCACTCTGCAGAACAACTCTCTCTAAATGCACTGTCATAACATAGCTGTGGCTGTTCTCTTTGACCATGAATGTGAATTGTCCTCTCCATTTACTGTATTTGAGCAGCACAGGTTTTCATGCTTTCATTTCATTTTCACCAAATGTTTGGGTTTGTTTTCTTATGAAGTACAACTGAACAATTTATAATGTGGAAGTGTGTTGAGACCAGTAACAGAAGTACGTTTCCCTACCAAAAATACCATTTCAGCGGTCGGGTTCCCCAGGAAGGGAGTACGTGCTGAGTAAGACCTAGTGGTAGTTGGCTATCAGCATCTCTCCTGCCGTTACTTACCCTGGTTGTGACACAGTTGCTTTCCCTCCTCTGACAGATGAGGTTCTGCCACATCTTAAATAGTTTACAAAGAAAAATGGCACTCATGAAACAAATCTTCCATGTGCTGTACATAATGATTAAAGTAGGTCTTGGTTCTTCTAGGAATATAGCTGCAGTTCTTTGTTTCTGTTCCCACTTACCTGTTTCACAGCTGTTCCCCACAACAGGAGTCTTAGCCAGTTCTTCATAGGTTATAATAGCTGTTCCTTGGAGTAGCTGTTTAATTACCAGAGTTGTAGATACAAAGGTAAAATGTTTCTCTGTATGTTACTGAACTGTCTGTGGTGTGACCAGTTTCTTTATTAACTCTTACTTAACTGTTTTCTCTGTCTAATCTGTCTTCATTCTGCCTCTTTTTTCCCTTCTAACCTGCTTGCTGCCTGTACAGACCAACTCTACCAGCAACTTGAGCAAAACAGTCGCCTAACTAATGAACTAAAGCTGGCATTGAATGAGGATTAAACTTTAGTGTGACTATATTGTTAACTTGTTTAAAAACCGCTTCTTCCAAATTTCCTTAAGAATGAATCAGTAAATGTAGAAATAAGCAAGAAACCTAGAAATTGATTTTCTTCAGGCTGTTGATTCTGTGGTAAATTAATGGATGAAATTCTCAGTTTCTGTTGGAAAAATATGAAAATGCTTCTTCTGGATGAGGCTTTTCATTATCTGTATGCACACCTACTTTGGAGGAGCAGTAAGCTCTTTGACTGTTCAGTAGCTCCTTTCCACTTAGGTAAACAGCTACGGCACTTTGCTAAAAGTATCCAGAAAGTAACAGCCTGCCTTGTAGAGAGACACTCAATTTACTATCATTAACTGGCCCTGAGATTTTTACTAGAACGTGGGCAAGAGAAAAATGTTCAGCAGGATTCACATTTCCGTATTTCAAAACCACCATAAAGGATACTTATAGCTGTTTTGTTATCTGGAGACTTTAATGCAAGAATTTTGCATTACTCTGATTGGACTTTCAAAAAAAATCAAAAAAAACCCCAAAAAAAACCCCCAAAACAACTTGGAATGGGAGCTCCATCTGAAAATATCCAGTCAGTTTAAAGGTATGCTTGCATTAGTACGACGTTACTATTACTGGATTCTGGTAGGATGCAGCTCTAGAACATTGTGCTTATTTACTGTATCGAATAAGTGTGTTAAATGACTGTCTATAAAAGTGTGCATGCAACATAAAGCTACTAACTTCAATTTTATTTATTTTCTAGAAGAAATAAATTTCTTAAAGGTCACTTCACTGAAGAAGAGGTTAATTCTAATTTTTTCGCTCTTTGCAAGTTCTGAGTTACATGGAACTTACAGTATGGTTCTGCAAGGAACTTAATTATTTTCTTTATTGCCCTACTTTAAAAAAGAAAAAAAAAATCAAAAAACACACACACAAAAAACCCAAACCAGCCATTTGCCATCCCACGTTCCTGTAAGCAAAGAGCTTCTAGAACATGCAAGAATTGCATCTCTGTTGCCAGTGCATTTTCTTAACAAATGCAGCTGTAAACAGTTCTAAACTTGCATTACTTGCCATTTGTTTTATTAATTTGGAATTCTCTCTAGTTGTGTTGTTTGGGGACATCGGTATTTATGAGCATGCACATTTCTTAGCTCTCTAAACCCTCCAATAGAAATGATGATTGCATGCCTTCATGTTCTGAGAATCAGTGCCTCCAAAGAACTGCTATTCATGTTGTAATTTTCTAATTCCACAACAGAGAAAGTGGCGCATGCTAAAGAAGAAAACCTTAGTATGCATCAGATGCTGGATCAAACTTTACTGGAGTTAAACAACATGTGAAAACCTTCTTAGCAGCAACCACATTATTTGTTTTATTATTTTTACACCTGCTTGCCGTGAAACCCCATAAACATGTCTTTATTTTAGTTTCACCACAGTCACAAGAACATCTGCTAAATGATCAGGCAGGGGTCAGGGAAACACCAGAATGGGCAAGCCATATGCGGGTTAAGCTATATTCCATTATGGTTTAAATGTGCCATTTCCCAACAAAAATGTTACCTACACTTTGTAGAGAGTTCTGCAATTCAGTATGCTTAGTCTTTTGAAGAATCCTGGCTGTGGCAGAAAGTGTCCCACCTCAAGTGCCAACTACAGTTTTTAACAAGAAGAATGATTCATGTTCGAGAGAGATCAGGTGGAAATGGTGCTATTTTGAACAAAAGGTTCTGCTGAAGTCTTGTTTGGTATCAGACAAGTCAGGAGCTGTCCAGCACAGTAATTTATTTTTGTCAGAATTTTATTGATCTGTGAGGATTTGGACTTTCTGTCTAATTCAATAAAACAAAGGTATATAAGCAACAGAGAAAAGTGAAGGCTTCTGGAGGTTTTAAATTGTGTTCTTGCAACTCAATACAGAAGTGTAGGTCAGCATTTCACCTTGAGCATTCATGCAATTGTATTTTTCATGTTGAAATGAAAGATTCAATAAATTCAGGAGAAAACATAAATTTGGAAGAGATTGTTTTAAAATGTATTTTATTCGTGTGGATTTGGGGGAGGGGGAGGAATTTATAAAACGATATTCGCCTCACTTTTTTTCACACTTTCTTTGAGCAGTTTTAAAAGTATACCTGTATGTAAACATTGTATAATGATATGGAATAAAATGCACATTTTAGGACATTTTTTAAATTTTGCTCTCCTGTGGTTTGTTTTTCGTCACATTAGCTTTCTGTGTGTCGCTGGGTAAAATATACACATGTGCAGTGTCTCTCATTGGGATATGCTGTTAACACATTGGCTTTCAGTCTCTTCTGTGCTGTTAGGCTAATGTATAAAAATGAAATGGTTTGGACTGATGTGCAGCTGCAGCTGCTAAGAAGGCGCCCTTTGAGGGCTGTATTGCAGGAACCTGTCCTCGTCACTTGATTGTATTCCCAGATGTGTACAGAATGCAACTATCCCCTAATGGATGTTAGAGCTTTCCAAAGTTGTTAATTGTCGACCAAAACTGTTCTCAGTAAGATCATGGCAGAACTCCCATAGAGTTCTGTAGGAAATGAGTCCTAAAGGCCATGCTCTTGGAAACACTGCCGTGTATTTGCATATCTTAACTGTTAATATGTGTTAATTTACTTTGATACAGTGATAAACTTTCTGAAATGATGCGTCAAGTTAATGAGAGATCCTTTCACCCAATTTTTCACTTCTGGTTGCTAATTTCTATGTGTCTGGGTATCTTTATTTGAATTATGAACTCTGTCAATGAGCAACTTCAGAACTTCAAAAATAATTCATATTCCTTCTTTTTCTATAGTATATTGCTGAAAGTTGATGCTGTCCATCGTAGCAGCAAGGAGCTCGGTAGGAGACAGGGATAGATAACCTTCCAGATCATCAAAGAATCTCCGTTAGTGGACCCTTAGCAAGCAACTGAAAACAAGTGACTTTCTCAGCAGCTGGTGTAGTGGTGAAAGGGTAAAGTAATACATAATAATTTTGGGTTAAACGGAGTTGGAGGGAGAAGATGTACTGGTGTGAGTCTCTGGCTTCTTTTGATTGTGTTATAAAGGGGAGAACTTAGTAACATTACAAGCTTTTGCCTAATTTGTTGGCTGCTGCCAAGTCATCCTGTATGAAAAGGACGAGATCCCTGGCTTCACATTTCCCTTTAAGTGTTTTTGGGAAGGAAAGTACATGTTGCAAGGCACCTACAGTGCCTTAAGCTTGTACTGAAGGCCAACAGTCTAAAGCTCCAAATAGAATTGTGCAGAGGTAAGTTATTCTAATCGCTTTCTCCTTCCTTAGTAGAAGGATGAAATGTCAGGTAATTGGGCTCTAAGAGTTCAAGCCTCCACGCGCTCGTGGCTTTGAGTGGTGCTGCTGGAGTCAGTAAGACTGCCTCCAGCAGGAAGAAAGTGCTACGCTGCGTAGTAGTTGGTAGGTTAGGGCCCAGAGCCTCCCAGAGAGTTGGAGGCTGTGCTGGGAGCTGAGCAGAGGAGTTCCTCACACTTGGCCATGAGTCTTACACAGCGAAGTGTGCTGCCTGCCCCACTGGGTTGCTTTTATGGTCCCATGGTCTGCACTTGAGTCCTAAACAGTGTGTCTGAGTGAGGTCAGACCCTTTGTTTGCTGCTTAAAATTGCTTGCTTTCCAGGAGACCACAAACTGCTTTGTGGTTTGGGGAACCTAAATTCACCTCTTGCTATGTGTCGGGGTAAGGAGGAGGCTGTGGTTTTAGTGTCTCTTAATGAGATCATGTCACTATTAATAGGGCAAGCATGTGCAAGCAAGGAGATAAGAATTAATCTGAAAAAAATCTGTTTGTAGAATAGACTTCCCCGAAGTGCACTGTTGCAGATGAATTCATAAAGCTTCATAATAGGTGAATAAAAGCTTTCTGGTTCCAAGGAGAGCTGAAGGGAGCAGTGAACATAACAGTGAGTCAAGTAGCATTTTTTTTTCTCACCTTTTTTTTCCACACCAAATGGCTTTTTTTTTTTCTGTCTAGCAACAGACACATAAATAGGCATATGGATGTATTTGCTGTAGCAGGAAAATGTTTCTCCCATTTATCATAAACCATTACCCATTATGGGTTCTTTGCATGCAGTGTGTAATCAGACAAAACTCAAGCTAGAAAGCATTGGCTTGTAAAAATAAATAAATTGGACTTTTGATTTAACCCCATTCCAAACAAATGGGATTTTCTCCCTCTTGAAGCTACTTTGCCCAAAATATTAAGTCTAAAAATTTGTTAAATTGCAGAACCCTGCATCACTCAGCATTCCTCAAGATGTGTGTCTTGGTTTGGCGAGCTACTCACCATTTTCTTCAATGTGAAAACACATTTGGCAGTTTGAAATATACCATTATTGTGCAGCCATACTATGTAATTGTCTTGGTTGTTTTGTGAGATGTTCTCTCTCAATGAAACAAGTAGTTCCGAGAGCACCAGAACTGGCAAAACCTGCCTTCTTGCAGATTCGTGTCTCGTGGTTGGTTGTAAACTTGCAATGACTTTTTTTTTCGGATACTGAGACATTTGTGTTGTCTCTCTCCCTCATGGGATTTCTGTGATGTCTAGTAATACGCAAAGCATGCTGCAGGGTGTCCCTTTCCTTCCATCAGAACACTCATAGGCATGCTCTTTCTATCTTAATGGTTCCTTACAGTCACAAAACTTGCAGAAATGTAATTTTTCCTTTTAGAGTTCTATGTAGTCAAAACTAGTCAATCAGTTTGAGTTGTTGAATGAGATGAGAGACAAAGATAAGTGGCATTGAGTCCCTTTTTAAAAAACGAAGCTAAAGCAGTAGCCTGCACATACATAGCACTGCCTCTCAGAGCTCTAGCACCTGAGTGAGAAATCTGAATCTGTAAGGTATTACACATATTAACCGATTCCTTCTGTCATTGGTGCTACTCAAAATCTGGGTTAAGTCAGCAAACTTTGCTGTACTGTTAATATTGTAGGGAATATCTATTACACTGGGCTGTCTACGACTGCTGTAATGTCTGTTAGTAGCAGCAAAAGAAGAAAGTGATAAGCCAACTAAAACATTTAAAAACAAGGCTGGGGGCTGGAATATTTACATGGCTCAGCACTTGGGGAAAATAGACTGTTTTTTCCTTAGATGGTTATTTTGGTGTGTGGTGGGTTTTTTTTAATCTGAGTTTTTTAATAAAACAGGAGCATCAGTGAAAGATTAAGTGGGAATTGCAGCAAAAAGGTCAAAGCAGTAGAGAAAACAAGGATAATGCTTTTCATCTTCATGGATTTTTTTTGAGAATGCACACAGGAATAGTTTTTTTTAATAGAGGGAAGCTGTGTAACTTTCTTCAGTGTACGCTGTACTCTTTCCAAGGTATGGAAAACCTGTGCAGGTTTGCATCGTCTTTTTGGCTTCAGTAGTGAATCTGTCTAATTTTCTGTAAGTCATAGTCTTGCCAATTTGTAAGCTGTTGCTGAGAATTGCATGAATGCAGATCCCACACAATGACAGCAGCTTAGTGAGCAATCTAGATAGCCCAGTTAATTTATATGAGAGCAGAAACAATGGGAAACAGAAGTAAATAGAAGTCTTGCAGACACATGCCAGGCTATTCCTTACCTTTTGTTATTTCTGGACTGATAATGCCCTGAAATGAGAGGACATTATGGAGTATTTTGGATTTAAATATTATGGCCTTTAAGGGCACCTCAGCACTAGTTTCTTCTTATCTCTTTGCTGTTTTGAGAAATGGCTAGATAAAGATTAAACAGCGTCTTTTTCATTAAAAAAAATAGAGCCAAGACAAAAAAAAAAATAATAATAAAAAGTCCTGCAGACCTACTAGCAACTGACACTACCACATGTCATAACATACTGGCGTGCATGGTTGTGGGAACATTTCTCATTTGTGTACAGCAAGCATAGGCAGATCATGGGTATAAAAGGGTGAAATATGTTTGGGGCCATGACAGTGTAAAGTATTCTATTCCAGGGCCTGACCGTGGGCTGCTTCTTGGGATTATTCCTTTCATCGCTGATGTTTTTAGGTTTTTTGCCCTGAGATTCAAACAGAAATGTCAAGGAAACGTCCATGTGATGCGTCTCAGCCAAAGCTCATGGCAAAGAGTGTTTCTTTGGATAAAACCTGCAAAGGCCTAACACCTAGTGGTAGTTGTCCATGCCAGTGAGGAAGAGGATGCAGGTCTGGTGTCTCTACAGTAGAATTTGTGAAAGAATAATCAGAAAGGTGACACTGCAAAGCTCTGGTAAGTTGTTTTAACTTGCTTAGGACACATTGGTATTGATATTAACATGGAGGTGTGTGTGAGTTTCAGTTTAAAAATAGAGGATTTCTTTGCAGGTCCACTAATAGTTTCTCTACACCAAATGTTTCTCTTGACAAGAATACTACTGGAAAATGCTTCAGAATCTTTCCTGGATTATGGTTTTCTGTAGCCAGCAAGGAGGAGCCTGCCAGACTTCTTTCCACTTAGTCTGGGTTGCTGTACTACTTCCTTATTTGTTTATTGTACACACGTAGGCTATAAAATAGGCTAAATGGATGATGTAATTTGTGCAGGCTGTCCAGAAAAAAGCCCTGTATCTAGAAGATGAACTAGGTGAGAAAGCAGCTAAAAGGGAAATGGTAAGATAGAATTGCACACAAGGGCTAAAGGCAAGTCAGGAGGGTGTAGATGGCATGAAGGTGATCTACAGAAGAATGAATCCCTCCCTCTAAGTGCTACCATGTAGTTATGCCTTGTCCTGCTCCTGTAGCCTCTGCTTGTGTTCCTGCAGTTACCATGTTCCTCTGCCACGGAGGAAGGTGGCTGACAAAGTCCAGGTAGCAGCAAATTCTTTGTCACCCCTCATCTGGGTTTAAAGTACAATATGCAGGACCTTTTCCCCGTAAAAATCAATAAAAATCCTTTTTCTCGGTGGTTCTCGCCCCACCAGCAGAATCTGGGTTAAATTTCTCTATGCTAGGACTTTATTATCAATTACCTTAAGCAGGAAATGGTGACCACCATTTTTTGCAGCTTTTCAGCATTAGCAAACATGTAGCGAATGTGTGTGTGTGCTTTTATTAGATTCACATGCAGCCATGTCTGAGTGCAAGGCATTTCCTGGAACTTAACAACTGGGTGGGAAGGATTGTGGATACCAGAGGCAGCCCAAGGGACCCAAACTGGTTGTTAATCCGTGGGAGGCACTCTGTGCTGAGACTTACTGTTGTAAATTGAAATAAAAAGCACACGGGCCTATATGTCTCTGTCTGTGGAGGAGAAGCAGAGGTTATTGCCATTTTGAGCAATTAAGTTCTTGGCTCCTCCCTCTGCTTCCCGAACATCAGTGTATTTGCTGCTGGCATTAGGAATGCTACAGCTAGCAAAACAACTTGTAGGAAGGGTTTACTCCGGATCCATTATTTTTGTGAATCACTTCCTATTAACAGTTTCAATTTAATTAAGGAAAAATCAATAAATCCACATTTAAATTGAGTCCAGATTGTATAGGGGTTTGTGCTGTTTTAGCTCAGCTGTATTAAATAAGGTCATTTTACCAAACCATGCAAGTGTATATACAACTTTGGCCATACACATATATAGAGTATATACAGCTAAAGCCTGCTTGTTTGATTAAGCCTTAGTCAAACAAAGAGTTCCATTAGAGCAAAGGCTCGGGGTTGTAGAATCGAGCTTTATGGAGTCATTGCGCAATGAGAAGTTCTCTCTTGCGTCAAAGCTGCTGGGTCTTTAGCTGCTGCCGCATTTGGCGTGGAGGCTTAAAAAGCAAATAGCTGTGCCCAGTGAGGATTGCAATGCAGTATTTCAGCTTCCAAAGAAAGACACTGATGTTCAAAGGTGCTGAGTCGTTCTTTTTGATCTGAGTAGGACACCTGCATACTGTTTTCAAGGTGGGAGATTGCAGAATCCCTATTTAAACTACAGTAAAACCAGAAAGCTCTGAAATCTGTTTACCCGGTTCCTCTTTTCCCCAAGTCTGTTTTGCCTTTGAAGCAATAATGAAGAAATTACTCTCTCTACTGCAGTGTGAACAACAAAGCTAAGTGTGTCACTTTGTTTCAGTTATAGATACATTTCTCAGACAACATGGGGATTTCTCTTAGTTTCTGTTTTATCTTCCTGTTTGCGAATTTGTAAGAGCACCAGCTGTCCATATAAGAAATGTTTTTTACTCACACCTGTTGTTTAAATTTGGCAGGCACCAAGTCGAGTAGGAACTTGTTAGCTTTCTTTACACCACTTGGAAAAAATGTCGTCATCCATTAAGTAGAGCACAGCTTCCCCTCCAGCTTCAGTACACCCTGAGCTTCGTTCTCTTCTGATGCATGCATCAATATCTTGCTTGCCTTTGCACTACAAGATTGTTTTTATTGGAGATAAAGGAAAAGAATCCAAGCTGAGTGGCAGACATTAAGATAAGTATGCAGGTAGTAAAACTGTTCTACTGAATAATGTTAGTCACACTAAAGTATGACTGTAAGTTAAGTGTGTGTATGTGTACTTGATGTACACTGCTATACACCAGAAAGTATATATAGCATCTAAAATATGGAAATGGTTTTGGTTTGGTTCAAAGTCAAAGAAATAAATGTTAGTATTTCCAACTCAAGCAGTTGATGGGCTTTTCCAAGTGGTACGAGGGACAAACTGTCCCACACTTAGTGCTTACTGCAGAAGTCAGTCATCCCAGGCAGTCATCTTCCCTCAGTAGTGACGTTTTTCAGATTTTCTTAGTTGTTTCCCATAGCTCTGCATGCAAGGGTACAAAATAAATACCTACTTTAGTTTTTGCAATGATCCTATTGGAGCACAAACCTGTGTAAATGCCATTAACTTGATTTACTCTTATTTTACACGTATGGAAAGAGGATAGAGTAAAATCCTTTCTTACTGATCTGTGTAGCATATAGTACATATGCTTACGGATATTTAGAGGGGCTCTTTTGAAACACCTCAACTTGGGAACAATACGCTGCAAAGGAACGGAGTTTGTAGTATGCATGGACTTGCTCCCTTAAGAATACGCAAGCCCAGTGCCAAATGCCTCCACCCAAATATCCGAGATGTTACTAATTTGATAAGAGACCTTTTCCTGTTTTTTACTAGCCTGTGCAGTTTCTCGAGCTGTCTGTGCTCGGTTCTCACAAAGTGCATTTTTAGTGGCACAGAACATGTCTGCAGAGCGAAACGAAGGTGTAATTGCAGCGCAGGTAGGTGAACCCACACTAGAACAGATAGTCACAGCAGTGAATGTGTGGAAAACGGGCTGGCAACCAGCATGCATGTATAGCTGGATGAGTATTTGGTGTGAACTGCAGAGAAGCATTTGCTTATGACAGTAGTTATCAGTAAAAATACATGCTGGAGCTTTGAATAACATTGAATGGTTTGGAAAAATTGCTAGCAGAATAGATACTGAGAAGGTTCTAGAGTCTTCTATCTAGAAGAACAGATAAAGACAGTAATTGCAAATCAGGACTGTACTGTTCACACAGGGATCTGCCTGAAGATTCATATACAAAATCTGGAAACACATTTTTCCTTCTGCTCCTGTATCTGTCAAAGCAAACGTGCCTGTTGGTTTTCTTCCTGACTCCTAGGCGCCTGCTGTGGAGGTGGCACTCGACCCTGGCACTTCAGGATGACTGAAGGCAGTTGTCTGGTCTGCTTCTCTCCCCAGTAAGTCACTCAGTGTCAGGCAGTCGGAGTTCTCACTGCCACATTTCTTGACACACAGTTATCTGGGACTCGTTCATTTCATTGAGCTTTATATTTTGGGGAGAAAGGGTGGAAAGAGAGGTAGTTGTCACCCAGTTGTGAGGAGGTCTTCCCAGAGCAAGCCAGAAAGCTTTCCTAAGTGCCTGCACTTCATAATTGTATCTTTGAGCACATTAGTTTCAGGATGATACTTTATGGTTAATGTATTTAATCTTTTAGGTGTTCTACACCTTCCATGATTTGTTACTTTGTTTTAAAGCACTGTACTTCAGTCTGAAAAAATATACTGGGAAAAGTCAAAGACACTGATGCTGTCTGGTACCTATTGCATTGTGTGAGTAGTGGTTACAGAAGCCATCACTTCCCATGGTATATTGTCCCTCTACCCTGCTGAGTGGGGAGAAGAGCTGGAGAGGTTAAAAAAGATTATACACAGCAACTGAATTCTAATGATAAATGTGAAGCTGTTCTTGGACAAAATTGTTCAATCCTCTCTGTGCTCAGTTTTCTGCCAGAAGAGATTGTTACCTGGAGAATAACTTCAGGAAAAAAAAAAAAAAAAACCACCAAACAGGAAATAATTCTGTATGGTTTCTTTTTTGGTTTTTTTTTTTTTTTTTGGGGGGGGGGGGGGTTTTTTTTTCTTTTTTTACACTGATGTATTTCACAAATGTTCCTTCATTACTTACTTTCAGCTGGTGACAATTATTTTTCCTCTGAGTCTCAAGAGGTTTAAAGTAGGCCCTGAATTAGAAGTATGAGGAAATCCCCACTGAGAAACGGAGTTTCAAAACTAATGTTTTTGCAAAGAAGAAAAAGAAATGTGTGCGGTCTTTGGCTGGTCTGTAACCACAGCATGGTCTTTTCAGCATTCCTTTCCCTGACATGCAAAATGTTTCCCAAACTCCCATCCTGTTGTTTCTAGGGACCATGTGAGACTGCATGCAACTGGTAAAACTAAGGCAGTAATCATGTGGCACCATAAAACTCTTTCATATTCTATTTTATTGAAAGTAAACAGTTCCCAGATTACACATCCTGAGTACACAGGAAAATGGAGTAAATTAAGGAGCGTTATGTTCCTTTTATGCTGTGTATGTTGGGGGTGGGGGAGTGGGGTGGGGGATAAAGTCACCAACCCGTGGTGCTGCAGGACTCTGCAGGTATGAGCTGCTGCTTGGAGGGCAGGGCCAGCCCTGCTGGGCTCCTACTTGAGCCTGAGGACCACCCCTGCTGCCCTGTCTGTTAACTCATGATGGGGACAGGGACACGGCACGACTGTGCTGCTGGTGTAACCACGACAGGAGCAGTGTTCCTGTGTCGTATAGAAAAAGTACATCAGGTTAAACTAAATTCCTCAAGTAGTTAAGATTAACAAATATCTGAATCATAGTGCAAGTAGAGCTGGTGATAAACATGTTGATCTCTATGTCTAAAGACCCACTGGTTTTAATGCTACTTTTTCTCCCCGTCCAGACATCTTACATGTTTAAAGATTGGTTCCTGATTAATGTTTCTCAGCTAAGTTGATGGAGAATTCACCCACCTGTGACCCTAGTTTAGGGAAAAAAACAACCAAACAACTCAGGGAAGATTTGAACCTTAAAATACAGCCGTGAGTATGCACCTATTTATGTACCTTTTGGGGAAGGGATGCCTGGGTTTTTGTTGGGTCTAACTGTTCTAGCACAGAACATTATTGGTGCACGTTGGTAGGGTTAGTGCTGTTACTGAAATGGTACATACACTGTAACCATGCAGGTGTTACCTTATTTGATTAGCAAATAATAATACACTGAGGACTGCTATACTGAGCAAGACCAAAAAAAAGTTTATGAGGAATCTGTAATAAAAACTCAGTTCAGTAAGTCTGTGACAAGAGAGATCCCACCGCAGTGGAACCACCCCTTTTGTTAACAACTGGTTAAACTGATAAGGTTTCTTACTGCCATCTACTGTACGAATGCTTCAAGTCAGAGGGGAATAATTCTGTCTCGGTTCTCAAATAAATAAAATTGCTTCTGAAAAGAGAGGGAGAAAGCAGAGCTTGATTTCTCTCTACATCTAACATTCCCTTTATTTGTCATCTTTTCAAATTCACAGATAATTTGGGGTTTTTAAACACTCAACCTGCAAGCTTCGGTTTGGGCCTGTAGCAGTTATAAATGGTATTTAATAGGATGCAAGAGCAGAGCTGGGCTCGTGATTTCAGAACTGACCAGCCCTTTATCGGGGAAATGCTAATATGCCTTACTTGTTTCCTATCATTGAAACCTTGGATTTTGGCTGTTAAAACATTACCCATCTTTTCAATTTCAATGGAAATGCTAAATTTAGGGGCATGTCACTGTAGAATGTTGCCACATCAGTGAGATAGGGAAGCAAATGAGATCATCATAGCAAAACCGCTGAGATCAAAGTCCAGACCTACAAGCAGGAGCAGCCATAACATCCGTTAAACATTGCTGAGACATCAGGATCCACAAAAGCACTCGCAGAAATGGAGGAGGACTGACAGAAGTGATGAAGTTGTTTTCAAAATGCCTGTAGATCTTTTTTTTTTTTTTTTTTGAGTCATGTTTTAGGAAATACTAATGAAGCCTCATGATTTGCAAATACCTGATGTTTCCACATACTGTTGACCACCAGCAGCAGAGTGAGCATGTTACACCTTTTGATGGTGGGCTACACCACTGCAGAACAGTATAAAAGCTACTGCCCACCTTATTGTTGTTCCCCAGCTCACACAGTAATGCTGTTATGAAAAAGCCAGTGAAAAAAGTAGCGTACAACTACAAGAGCAAGATGACTGGGAAGATACATACGCACTTTAATGTCTCATGTTACTGAGCCTTTGGCATTTGTCTTACTCAAACAGCCTTAAAGGATTCTTGGTGGTGAGTCTAAAGCTGCCCCGTGTCGAGGTGAGTGAGCGCAGCCCTGCTTTGCTGAGAGACCCATTGTGTCGCCCCGTTCTTTATCATCCGAGTAAGGCATATCTCGTCACACAGGCTTTTCAAATCTGGTAAGCACAACTTGGCAAGGAGGCAGCTGGTTTCATGCTAAACCATGTGGAGTTTTTCCACCATGCCAGAGGGGTCTCCAGATGGACTTTTCTGGCCATGTTACGTAAGGAAGATGGATTACAGCTGAGAGCCGTTGCCTGTACTTCTAAGTGGTTGATGGACAAGGATAGAAGAAAAACATCTTTGTTAAACATTTCTGTTGAAACTGGAATTGGGTTAGCCTAGTGCTTGCTGTCCTCATTTTCTATGGCTATCAGTGCGAGCAGAAGATTCTCAAAAACCTTCTAAGCCTGTTATCTCAACTCAAAGTTAACAAACCCAGCAGCTTAGGGGAAGAGAGAACAGATAACAGCAGGCCATGTTGTGCTACTGGATTTAACACAAAGCTCTTCATTAAGGCAATCGGAGAAAAATGGCAAGCTCCATTTCTGGCTTAGGCCCATTCAAAAGTGTGATGCCAAAGAGTGTTCCTACTGAGCAGGTCAATGTAAGAATGCAGAAAATCCTGCTGCAAAAGGCTTCCAGAGACAGTTTAACACCATGAAAATGACTTACGAGTCAGTAAATACAGCATCCTGTACCAGTTGGGTATGATGTTGTACTGTGATAAGCAACAGAGTTTTATTGAGAAAATACTAATGAGAAATAAATGCCTGCAGTGAAAAGTGTAGCATCTGGTCTGCATTTGACTTCACGCATGAAAGCTATTTGGCCTGAATTCCTGCCAAATCCTGCAGTTTTTGAGATCATCAGACATGAAGGAGATTGAACTCTCTAAGTTAACATCTCAAAATTTTCTCCTAGCAGAGCATATGCGGAGTTCTAAAAGGACAGACTCACCACTTTTGCTTACAAGTATGGCTCATTTTTTTGTGTTTTTTAAGCTATTGGAGTGGCCATTGTTAAAGGCTGTTAGCTGTTGTTCAAGAATCCTTCAACATCTATACATTGTGGTTTATGTCATTGTCTAAATACCCCAGAAAATCTCCACGAAATAAATGACAAACCCCTGCACAATCCATCAGACTGGACACCGTGGGCTTTCTACACAAGGAGCTTTCTGCATTGCTAAGTAATGATACATCCCGGTCCACCTATTTGTGATTTACCAGGGTTTAAGGTCCTTAGAACAGTCCAGTCTAAGGCATTCCCTTGAGAGGACTGACTTGGAACAGTTAAAAAGAAAGGCTACTATGAACCTTTCTCAAGTGTTTGGACGCTGTTGTGTTCTCCATAGCATGCCAAGGGCTCTGCTGCTTTTGGTACCACCTCTAGAATTTCTACTCATCCTGGACTACGGTCTGCTTAGTTCACACAAACTAGCTCCTCCCTGTCCTCCCCTCCTGCACCAGGACTATTGGACTAGGTAGTCTGAAATCCAAATAAAGAGCATTAAGAGTGCTAAAAAAGGACTGAAACGAACTGTTAATGAGGGGTTTTTTTAACCTTCTTTGGACCTAACAATCTGCTCTAGCATCATTGTAATTAGTAATTTCACAGCAATGACATATAGAAAGGGGATGACTGAGTATCTTCATACTAATGTAGATCTTTGGATGCTCCGGTTAGACGTGTGGACTAACAATTCCACTGACAGCTTTGAGTGGCTCTGGATTTGCCTTTGCATTAGGCACATACAGTCTCTTTAATTGTCATGAAAGGCTGATGGGAGGATCCCAAATGTGCAGACTCATCCAGTCGGCAAAGCTCACAAGAGTCCTGGTTATTAGAGGTATTCTTGGATGGGATTTGGATCTAGCTGACATGCCACCTACCTGTCAATCTGAGTCTGCTGATGCACTGAAAATCCTTCTTTCCTTCTGCCTTCTTGAGTAATATTATCACTATTTGGTGACTCTTCAGTCTCTTCAGCTTGCTGCTCAGTCAACATTCAGATCATTAAAGACAGCTATTAAAAGTTTATTGGAAGTGGAAGGTTTGGAGATAGTTTAAAAGCATCAGTTGAAGGGCATTGGCATCTCTCGAGCCTGTCTAAAGGGAGCGACTACATGGAAAAATTATTTCTGTGAGCAAATGCTTGCGGTGTCATTGGCACTGCTCTAGGCCAACGTTTGACTCTAAAACCAGCTTTGGAAAATTCAACGTTTGTAAGTAATGTCTCCCTAATCTAGATTAAATACGCTCGTCTTGTAGTTGAAAGGTTTTATCTTGGTGTTAGCCTGTCTTGCCCTGCTTCGCTTCTGCCCGCCGCACATTTTGCAGCAGGCTTTTTTCGTGTGGTCCCGCCATCGTTTGCTGTGGAGCGCTCAGTTAAGATCGGACATTATGTCGTGGTTTGAAGTATCCCTCATGTCCCCTCTGTCCTCTTCCCGTACGCCGCTGCCGCGGAAGCGCTGGTTCAGCCCCGCTTATTCTGCCGGAGCCGCCTAGGTGCTGGCGGGGGTTACAAGCCGACTGCCACCGGGAGAAGGGGCAGGCGCTGCTGAGCCGGCGGGGGGACCGGCCCCGGCTCCGTGGGGGCCCTGCGGGGCGCGGGGAAGCGGAGCC